TAAATTTTCGGCTTTCATTAGCCGAAAACTGCCGTGGAATGCTGATTATGATAATGTGCCTTCTTCGTCCAAATCAATTTTTGCAACTCGACGGCAACGAATATAACAAAAGATGCTATATTATATATTATATAATTTTCAACACCAATGCTTCCTTAGTGTTCAACATGGACAGAATCACTGGCACTAGAATAAAATCTGAACCAACGACAGACACAGCTGTGTCGATAACCACAGATTCGCACCAACTCATTTTCAAACAACTACTGTTCACAAGAGACGAGCTTACTTCAGGGCTAGCACAACAAAACAAATGGGTTATTACACAATATACAAGAAAACGGAGCTCAAGTATATAAAACACTACATGAACTAAAAACGTTCAAATAAATTTGTTATTATTCTTCGTAATAAACCAAGAATAACGAACCCAACATAAAGTTGCAACCCCAACAACGTGAAAGTTAGTTTCAATAACAAACCTTACTTAGCTCTCCTTATTAAAATTTTAGTGAGACGAAACTGTAGGCATACACCATAAATGCAAAAAAGAAACTTTCACGGAACTAAAATCTATGCCATGGAGGAATGAGATCAAATACAGCGAAATCTACCGTGGAGAAAACCCGCGAAGCATCAGTCAATTAGAAGTTTCGATGGCCACTAATCCTCATTGTGCCACGGAGAAAGACGCACGCATTCAGTGTATCCAACGTTTCTGATCCAGCGTCGGTGTCAATGCTTCGACAGAACAAAACCTGAGTCTGGAGCATAGACCGCTGAGACGCTTGTCCCAGACCATTCCCGGTCTTCCCCGGAATCTTCGGCCGGTAGGATGAGCAAGTACTCTCTAGCTGTTTCACCTACTTTTGTGGAAGAATTCGCAACACCTGCCCAAACCATCATACCTGTGACTCTTCAATGTGGCGAAGCAGCGGCTCAGAAATCTGAACCCTGGGAAAAGTCGAAACCCATAAAGGCAAAAATTCACTTCAGAAAGACCGTTTAAGGTAATTGTATCCACGATCGCGGCTTTTCAGTCACAAGCCGCGACTGACGACCAACGGTGAGTATGCGGAAGGAAATCGACTTGTACATCGATAGCTTCGTCTTTAAGCTCAAGATAGATCTATCTTCATCACAGAGGTTGCGGATATAGAGAATGTAACTGGCTATTCCAATTCGCTGGGCAACCGCTTCCTCCCATTTTCCATCACCAGTAAACACAACTTCATGGTACTTGAACTTCTCCACTTGCTACACTGCCTTTCCGTTAAGCTGAAGAGGGCAACGGAGAAGAGAACAAGAAAGCACTAGGTTTTTCGTTTTAGATGCGTTCACACGCATGCTGGCCAAGTCACACTCGGTTGTGGATCTTTCTAGGGAGCACTGCAGAGCAGCTTCAGAAGATACCAATAAAACAAGGTCGTCTGCAAACAGCAACATTCTCTTCTCCATATCTCCTACACCAATACACTCATCACCTTGGCTGCTCCTGACCGTTCTATTCATGTACAACACAAACAGTAGAGGGGACATGACACGGCCGTACCGGAGACCAGTGCCAAC